ACATAGGAAATATACAGGAAAAATCTTTAAAAATCTTCTTCTCAAGAACAGCAAAGCCATGATTGGTCATATTTATATGGTAGCATCCTCAGGTAGTGTAGATTCAAGTTTGTTCAAATCATGACCCCCGGGGGTCGGGTGGGGCCACAATGGGCGATCAAAGTTTTACATAGGAATATATGGGAAAATCTTCAAAAATCTTCTTCTCAAGAACAGCAAAGCCATAATTAGTCATATTTACATGGAAGCATCCTCAGGTAGTGTAGATTCAAGTTTGTTCAAATCATGACCCCCGGGGGTCGGGTCGGGGCCACAATGGGCGATCAAAGTTTTACATAGGAATATATAGGAAAAAATCTTTAAAAATCTTCTTCTCGAGAACAGCAAAGCCATAATTGGTCATATTTACATGGAAGCATCCTCAGGTAGTATAGATTCAAGTTTGTTCAAATCATGACCCCCGGGGGTCAGGTGGGGCCACAATGGGCGATCAAAGTTTTACATAGGAATATATGGGAAAAAATCTTTAAAAATCTTCTTCTCAAGAACAACAAAGCCATGATTGGTCATATTTATATGGTAGCATCCTCAGGTAGTGTAGATTCAAGTTTCTTCAACTCATGACCCCCGGGGGTCGGGTGGGGCCACAATGGGCGATCAAAGTTTTACAAAGGAATATATGGGAAAATCTTCAAAAATCTTCTTCTCAAGAACAGCAAAGCCATGATTGGTCACATTTACATGGAAGCATCCTCAGATAGTGTACATTCAAATTTGTTCAAACCATGACCCCCGGGGGTCGGATGGGTCCACAATGGGCGATCAAAGTTTTACATGGGAATATATGGGAAAATCTTCAAAAATCTTCTTCTCAAGAACAGCAAAGCCATGATTGGTCACATTTACATGGAAGCATCCTCAGATAGTGTACATTCAAATTTGTTCAAACCATGACCCCCGGGGGTCGGATGGGTCCACAATGGGCGATCAAAGTTTTACATGGGAATATATGGGAAAATCTTCAAAAATCTTCTTCTCAAGAACAGCAAAGCCATGATTGGTCACATTTACATGGAAGCATCCTCAGATAGTGTACATTCAAATTTGTTCAAATCATGACCCCCGGGGGTCAGGTGGGTCCACAATGGCCGATCAAAGTTTTACATAGGAACACAGTAAAAATCTTAAAAAAAACTATTTGTTAAGAATAGCAGAGCCATGATTGGTCATATTTATATGGTAGCATCCTCAGATAGTGTACATACAAATTTGTTCAAATCATGACCCCCGGGGGTCGGGTGGGGCCACAATGGTCGATCAAAGTTTTACATAGGAACACATAGTAAAAATCTTAAAAAAAAAACTATTTGTTAAGAATAGCAAAGCCATGATTGGTCATATTTATATGGAAGCATTCTTAGATAGTGTACATTCAAGTTTGTTCAAACATGACCCCTGGGGGTCTGGTGGGGCCACAATGGGTGATCAAAGTTTTACATAGGAATACATAGGTTAAATCTTTAAAAATCTTCTACTCAAGAACAGCAAAGCCATGATTGGTCATATTTAAATGGAAGCATCCTCAGATAATGTAGATTCAAATTTGTTCAATTCATGACACCCCCCCCCCCCCCCCCCCCCAACCACTTTTTAGCTCACCTGAGCCGAAGGCTCAAGTGAGCTTTTCTGATCAAATTTTGTCAGTTGTCTGTCGGCGGCGGCGTCGTCGTCGTCGTCGTTGTTGTCGTAAACTTTTCACATTTTCATCTTCATCTCCAGAACTACTGGGCCAATTTCAATCAAACTTGGCACAAAGTATCCTTGGGTGAAGGGGTTTCAAGTTTGTTCAAATGAAGGGCCATGCCCTCCTCCAAGGGGAGATAATTACGAAATAGCAAAAAATTAATGGCATTATTGAAAAATCTTCTTCTCAAGAACCAGTGGGCCAGGAAAGATGAAACTCATGTGGAATTATTGTCAGGTAATGTAGATTCAAGTTTGTTCAAATCATGACCCCTGGGGATAGGGTGGGGCCACAATGGACGATCAAAGTTTTACATAGGAATATATAGGAAAAATCTTCAAAAATCTTCTTCTCAAGAACAGCAAAGCTATGATTGGTCATATTTATTTGGAAGCATCCACAGGTGGTGTAGATTCAAGTTTGTACAAATCATGACCCCCGGGGGTAGGGTGGGGCCACATTGGACGATCAAAGTTTTACATAGGTCTGGAATATATAGGAAAAATCTTCAAAAATCTTCTTCTCAAGAACAGCAAAGCTATGATTGGTCATATTTATATGGAAGCATCCTCAGGTGGTGTAGATTCAAGTTTGTTCAAATCATGACCCCCAGGGGTAGGGTGGGGCCACAATGGACGATCAATGTTTAACATAGGTGTACATAGGAAAAATCTTCAAAAATCTTCTTCTCAAGAACAGCAAAGCTATGATTGGTCATATTTATTTGGAAGCATCCTCATATAGTGTAGATTCAACTTTGTACAAATCTTGACCCCTGGGGATAGGGTGGGTCCACAATGGACAATCAAAGTTTTACATGGGAATATATAGGAAAAATCTTCAAAAATCTTCTTCTCAAGAACAGCAAAGCTATGATTGGTCATGTTTATATGGAAGCATCATCAGGTGGTGTATATTCAAGTTTGTTCAAATCATGACCCCCGGGGGTAGGGTGGGGCCAAAATGGACGATCAGTTTAACATACATGTAGGTGTACATAGGAAAAATCTTCTTCTCAAGAACAGCAAAGCTATGATTGGTCATATTTATTTTGAAGCATCCTCAGGTGGTGTAGATTCAAGTTTTTTCAAATCATGACCCCCGGGGGTTGGGTGGGGCCACATTGGACGATCAAAGTTTTACATAGGAATATACAGGAAAAATCTTCAAAAATCTTCTTCTCAAGAACAGCAAAGCTATGATTGGTCATATTTATATGGAAGCATCCTCAGGTGGTGTAGATTCAAGTTTGTTCAAATCATGACCCCCGGGGGTAGGGCAGGGCCACAATGAACGATCAAAGTTTTACATAGGAATATATAGGAAAAATCTTTAAAAATCTCAAGAACAGCAGAGCCACGGTTTGTCATATTTATACGGAAGCATCCTCATATAGTGTAGATTCAAGTTTGTTCAAATCATGACCCCCCCCACTCCCTTTTTAGGGGTAGGTTGGGACCACTTATGCATTTAAGCTTTTCAATACTAAACTGATTTTTCCTTTTTTCCTAGCCACAGTGCTCAGGTGAGCGATGTGGCCCTTGGGCCTCTTGTATCCACCACCATTTATAGTCGTCTCTACAGACCAATAAACTCGCTTGTTGCAAACTTGTTGTCAGATGGCATAATGAGTAGAGTGGAAAGAGTGCCATGTATTGCATTAAAAATTTCCAAACAATTTAGAGGAATTTTCTAACCCCTCCTGAGTTTTAACAGTCAATGTTTTTTTTCCTGGCTTATCATTTTTTTTTTGGTGGCTGCCCCTTACCCCGTTTGATAAATGTTGCTACAGGCCTGTCTTGTGTTGATGACTCCCTCACACTAATAAATTACTTATTAGGTTTGTTACTGACTGTCTACAGAAATATATCAAGTTGATCAATTCAATAAAGAAAAGATTTTATTACCAATTCAACATATCGTGATACATATCGTATCGTGGCTCAAATATTGTGGTACGTATCGATACAGAAAAAGTTGTATCATCCCAGCCTTACTAATATAGGAAAACATTAGTAATCCAAGGTAAGTTTTGTAATTTAATTAATACTTCTGAGAACATATTGGTAGTCATACTTGAAGAAAAAATGCATATTGCGAATATTGAATATATTTACTTTAATAAGCCTAGGAATTCATTATATGATAATAAGGAATTAGGGAAATAGTGAAGTAAATTCACAAGTCCCCACGACTTCGCTGTGACCAAGTTTTAGTGTACAATAACTGTTACAGTTATATAATTTATCATTAGTGGTCAAGAGTTTCACCACAGTCTAATATAATTTTAGTGTCTTTTTACATGAAGGTGGCAGAGGATAGTATCGGATTAAGTACCAGTCAAAAATTAGAAAAAATACAGGAACCTTAGGTTTGAATGTATATTATTAATAGGTAATTTTATTGCTAGAATATTTTATGTGTGCATTTGGAGGGAATTGGTGGCCTTGTATATTCTAATGATATATGACACTTTAGTGTCACTACTACTGTTAATGGGATATGGACTAGAAATATGAAACTAAGATCAAAAATCACTCTTCCGGTATTTCACCAGAAAAGTGGGGTGGGTTCATAGGATGAATTGTAGCTTGAAAACGAGGTGGTTGAGCCATTATCTCTTGCTGTTCAATGGTTACTATGTACAAGTGTTGGTCTGCAATTTGTGTGGTAGCTTAGGGCATTAGCACGGGCCTGGAAGCAGTTGCGGATCCGGCGAAATAGTGAAAATAGGCTTAATTTACATGAAATTTTGAGATTGTCCCTGTGCCATCATTAGGGCTCATTGTGTAAGTTGTACATGTTTTATTCCTAAAAGCTTCAAATTCCTCAAGGGACTGGACCATACTATTATTACATGTAGAGAGAATTTAAAATTTTTCAATGGACATTTTAAAAGCAGCTCAATATTAAGGAAACCGTCAGTCAAACGTTTTGATTGCCAAAAAAAACTGTAATCCTCTGCCACCTGAAAGATAGTCATCCCAGAAGAAAAGCAGACTAATAGAAAACTAATATCTATCCTCATTTCAATATCAACCTAAAAAAAATTCATTGAATCTTGCATTTCATCATGTTCATACTATATTTTCATATACTTTATTCGTGACTTAACGGTAATGTAAAATGATTTTTATTTTTACAGGCACATTTTTAGCATTTGGCATACTGGAATTTTGGAGTACGTTGAGTATTATTCTGACCTAATAAAAGAATTGAGGTTTCGTGGAAGATGTGGAGTGGAAGGGGAATTCAGTCAGCTTCTAATATTCTTCGGCAAGATATTCCTGTTGAATGCTATGTGAGTTTGTGTAATGCTTGAAACAAATTCAAAATTTAGTTAAACACTTTTGAGGCATATATCTTGTATATGTATGTTTCTTTTTAGCTCACCTGTATTGAAATCGCTAGTGACCTTTTCTGATCAGATTTTTTGGTGTCCATCTGTAAATTTTTCACATTTTTAACTTCTTCTCAAGAACCACTGGGCCATTTTCAACCAAACTTGGGTGAAAAGCAGGGCATAATAATAATAACCCTTGCATCCAGGTTCAGTAAAAGGACCCTGCCCCAATTGAAATTTGCTTTTTCCCCCAAAATTTTGAGTGACTCAGGTAATTAACTTAATTAATGCTATCTGTTTTCCTCCATTGCTGTGCATCCTCGATCATCTAATGTACGTTAACATTTGAACATTTTTAGCTTCTTTTCTGGGACCCTGAACCATTTTCATCCATTCTTGGCATATACACCCAAGTTCACTAATAAGCAGTATTTGGCATGTCGAGATAGCGAAAAAATAAATGCCTTTAAATTTGGTTTTGATGACTTTCTGGTAAGCCTAACAATGTATGGAATCTTAATCTAGATTTTCTTGTACATGAAATAAAGGGTTTAAAAGATATTTCATCGAATATATGCAGTCCCGAACAAATGAAAATAAGCTTAAAAATGTACGTTACATTCGATTAGCCTATTTGCAACATCACATCTGTACAAAATCACTAACAATAGAAAGCCTTTCGCTTGCAAAAACATTTCATAACACAATACATGTAGCTTTCCAAAGATTTGTTTCAAGATATCCAGACAATGTTGATAATAATAGCGGAAACATATATGTGATCAATTTAACAAACATATTCATAATTATAAATTTTGGAGATGCATAATTTTGAAATTTTTGAAAATAAATCATACGGGTTGAATTTTATTTTAAGTAATTCATTTCTACAATTTGAATGTTTTTCATCACTTTGGTATAATTTCTTGGGTTTATGTCGACAATTTCAACACAAATTTTCCTTTTTCATGTTTAGTGTCGAATGTAACGAACATTTCGTAAGCGAGTTCAAATCTGTTGTTCACTTAGGAGAATATTGGGTATCCATCAGCTTTTAATATTACTCAGAAATTGCTCTGCTTTTATAGTCAAACTCATGAATTGTAGATAAGTAATATTTTTGGACTGTATTATTAAAAGACTCGTTCTAATATTCAAACACATGTAGAGTACTTCGTAATGATTTTAGAACAACAGTTGTTTTGGTAAGACATACTACTAGTTTTGACCTTTTAAAATTACTTTTGTAGACTTTATATTATCTATATACACAAAATAGGTACAAGGATTCAAAGGGGTAAATATAAATTCACAAAGAGAACGTAAGTAACGGACATTTCATTGTAACGAACATTTTATCTCCCTCAAAACATCTGCTTTTTCACAGGATTGTGCGATTGAAAGACGTACAGAATGCTAGATTTATAAGATTTATAACTAATTAGACAGCTTTGATCTCTTAACAACAAATTAAACTCCATATCATGGATATTGAACACAAATGGTAACGAACATTTCAATATGCAAGTGCAACGATAAATTTTCTATAGTAACAACGTTTGTTAAGTGTTCATCGTGTAATCACAGTATTTGGAAGTCATCGAAGTGAAACAATTTTATATTGAACTTGTTACTCAAAATATTGAACATATGAAAGTCATAGAATTGACGTAACGAGCATTTCAAAATGACAGTCACTTGATGTTTTCGGCTATTTTGCTTTGGTTCTCATTTGACAGCTTGTGAAGTCCACCATACTTCCCAGTTGGAATAGGTTCATCAATAATACAGATGATTTTGTCTGCTGATACCCATAGTTTGTCAGGTTTCCCCGGCCACCTGTACAACTCCTTTCTCTTCTCCATAAAAGAGATCTCGAACTCTCCATCATCATCATCCTTGTCGACAACCTTTCCAACGTACCACTCCACATCATAATATGCTGCAACAAAATCTCCTATATTCAACTTGACATTGCTGTCACCAGTAGGGGAAACGATTTCTTCAAGGGCATTGTTCTCATTTGCAACTGTTCGAGTTACTGCTTCATTCCAACCACTGCAAATATTACCGGACAAGCATTCGTCACAGTAACAACTTACATCCTTTATCTTCACACAGGAGTTTCCGAGACCAACTACTGCATGTAATTTCATTGTACCTTTCACCGCTCTGATCTCTGACTGATATGCATTTAATTCATCTTTCTTTTTTTCACATTCCGCTGACTCCACGAAAGTGACGTTTTTCATGCTAGAAGATTTTGCCCAATCATAGAAAGCTTTGGCATCTTGTATCATCACTTTCCCACTCCTCATTGCTTCATCCGCCAGTCTTTTCACCGTGCCTCCAAGACCATCACACGGCCCCTTCCCATGGCCGGACTCAAAATAGTTCCATCGTGCGTTCATCCCATGGGTACTCTTGTGGTTTGCAACAAAGTCGATTATAGTCTTATTTCTATATTGACTTGTCGGGCTGTCTGTCCAATAATGAATGGTCGATACGTCAGGGTCTATGTTTTTAATTATTGGCATAATTTTGTCAATAAAGGTTAAAACTGTGGTTGAATTATGGCCCATTTCATCAGAGACAACGATGATACTTTTGTGTTCGATGGTATTTTCTGAATTAGGGTAATACACGACCATGGGGTGTAAGGTAACGCACGTCTGATTAAAATATGCGCTCTGAACTTCCTCCAGTGACTTACAGGTGTAGTTTTCGGCGAAGTCCATCTGAATGACTACATTATGCTGAGGTAGATTTCCTTTAAGGGCGTGTATCTGTTCATACTGGGTTGACACGCGACTTACATGACCTTTAAAGTCTTCCGTTTGCTTATTCAGGAAGTCTAGGAACGATTTTATGTTCTCAAAAGACTGCTCCATGATTTTTGTAACATATTTCTTTTTTCCTTTTTCCTCTACTTCCACTCTTTTCCACTGATTCACTTTTACGACATCATTCTCTGCAAAATGTTCTTTTGCTTTAACTGCAACGTTTTCTTTTACCATATGTTCTGGATTAAGGGGAATGTTCAATCCTGCTGCTTTCAGCTCTTTTGCTGTAAGTGCCATATTCTGATGCTTGGTGCAGAGACATGTATTACGGCTTATAAGTGCCATTAAGAGAATGTTCTTTGGTCTTATCCGTTTGAATGTTGTGAGAGAAATCTTCATCTCAGGGTTCTCGGACTTGAACTTTTTGTAAAGATTCTCTAAGTAATCCTTGAGTACCCGTGTTTGTGCTTTCTCTCCATTGTCTGTTTTCTTCACATCGTTCTTGCCTGGCTGAGCTCTGCTATTGTCTTCCCTCTCCATAAATTCTGTTACTTTTCTCTCAAACATTTTCTTTTTGTTGCGGCGTGTGTAGCGAGCTGTGGACAAAGATTTCGTTTTTACTTTAGACATGCGGTTTCTGTCCAGACCAGCCTTTGCTGCCAAGGATGTTAAGCATCTGTATTTTTTGACAATTTTACCACTGACTACACTGTACACCGCCTTCATCTCAGTTCTCCTTACATTTCTTTTTGTTACATCGATCTCCTTTGCTATTACTGATGCGAGTAAAAGAGGTTTCTTTACAGCATTCTTCTGTTCCTCACTTAATTTTGCAGCTTTCATGAGATTCTGAACTTCTTTCCTGGGTGTCAAATTCCCTGAACTAGAAATCTTGTGCTTGATTCTTTGGAATCTTCTTTGTAATGACTTGTTCTTCCTCTTTGTTTCTTTGTTTTGCTTTTCCAGCTCTCTTATCCTTTCTCTAGCTTTGATTAAATCTTCTTTCCAACGCTTCTGTGGACCCTTTTTTCTATTTGGAAATTGGAACTGCACCTGTAACAGCCCGGATTCTGCTGTTTCATATCCGCTTGTGTCATGATTAGTGTTCTCACCGTCTATTTCTCTTTCGCGCCTCTTTTTCTCATAGAAACGCCGAAGTCTCTCCCTGTTTTTCTCGTTTCTTTCCTTAAGTTTCTTTCTGCTGAGCTGTGCACTTGGAACATAACAAGCACGCCTTCTTGCTCTCTCCTTTGCAAGATACCCTTCGTTATCCTTCTGTTTCAGTCGCTCGCGGTAGGCTTTCTGAATTTCAGCTCTACATTTGCCCATAATTGAAATCTGTAATGGATAAAATGTTCGTTACCGAGAAATAAAATGTTCGTTACCGCCTAGATTCAGTGCTATGCAAAAGTTCGTTAAGATTTTCCCAGAAACAATTAATATATTGAAAACAATTACATTATGTAGTATATTTTGAAATAAAAAAAGAGAGCCATAATATCTCTTTGCTCAAAATGTATCGTGGTTAATTTCGGAAAGATGAAAATAAAAATCTATGAAGATTTCAAATTGATCGATTTTAAATTCTATTCATTGCACCGAATATGCAACATAAGTTTAGAAATAAGCATTTAAAGGAAAGGGGGATTACATTAAAAAGCAGGATATTTTGTAAGTATTCCAAATTCTATCAGCGTTCAAACATAGTAAAATGTTCGTTACCAAAAGTAACGAACATTTCTATTTGATTAATGGTGCATGGGTTACGGATCATACATAGTTTATTATTTTCTTTGAAAATTTCCATTCAATTAGAACCTGCACAGCGCATTTTCAACACCTAAAGTGTATAATTTAGTTAGGGATACTATAATTCATAGTAATAAAAGAATACTCACTTCATTCAGCTTTCAAAAATGTACCACACAGTAAATACAGATTTTGAAATTGCAATATGGCGCCTCGGATACTTTAGGGACCACGTGCTCTATAGTCGAAAACGTAGCATATTGAACCCGACAGAATTTACACGGCTTTGTAACACTTCTTGCATTAACGTAACGAACATTTTAATAACGAACATTTTTGTCACATTAGTTTTTTGCTGTATGTTTCTAATATTTAGACTGTTTCCTTTTTTTATTTTTTAATTCTTGTTTAGTTTGAAGTTCATTACTTAGACCGTCAACATATGCACAATCGATAGATTAGAAGGTTCCAGAAATTATAGTAACGAACATTTGACTTTAATCTAATTAACGGTAATATGTACTATTAACTTTGGTATTGCTAAAATAGCCTGTAATCTATCAGGAAATGTCAAATTTTGTACACATAGGATAGTTTTACGTTTATTAGACACACAAGAAAAATATAAAACCATTCTCAGTAGATGATGTACCTGCATTTCAAATCCATTGTAACGGACATTTTTCAATTCTTTTCAAACCGACGACACATCTTCTACCATCAATATATTAAATATGGGCACTCATGGCTACATATTGTTTACAATTTAAATAAATTAAACATCGTATGAAACTTTATTGACGATAATAAGCAAAATATATGCCGCTATTTTCTTAAGTTGTAGACGTATTTTTATGATTTCCGCAACAGCGACAGTAACGAACATTTAAATTTCTATACATTGACTCTGAATTTGCAGGATAAATAAACATTGCGGAAAAGGACTGTATATTTTTTAGTACACTGGTGGTGAAAACTTTCTACTGCAATATCAATCCCAATAGGTTTTTGTTGATAGACTCGGAAAAACAACTGGAACAACAAATGCTGCTTATTAGTGAGCTTGGGTGATAGCATCTATGGGTAAAGGGAAACTTAAAAATTGTGAATTTCATGGTCTTCTTTATCCAGAGACCTGAGGCTAAAACCATCAAAATTAATTCTATCTTAAAAAAATGTCTTCATTACTTGACATCAAGCAGTCATACTGTTAACATGATTGTACAGTAATAAGCATTGTGAAATTCATGAGTTAGGGGTATTAGAGTTGGATGGGCTCTATTGATTATATATTGAAAATCCATAATTTCTTTAAAAAGCTTCTCTTTGTTTCCCTGTATATCATGGTATATTGAACAGATAATGTAAGTACCTGGTTGAGATGCAAAGTGCCTCTTGCAAAATTTTATGGCTCCTGGGTCAGTGGTTCTGGTTATAAGGCGGGGCTCTATTAATCATATAGTAAAACTGTATTTTATTTCTTTGAAAATATTTTTCTTTGCTTCTGGGTAAGCAAACCAGTGCATGGTTATGATTAAAGTTGTCTCTTCCAAATTTGTGTATTTCATGACCACTGAGTCAGGGGTTCTGGAGTTAGGCCAGCACTCTGTTGATTATTTAGTGATCTTCTGAAACTAAATTTTTTTTACAGTAGACATAATTAAACTGTACTGATTGGAGTTTTCTGATAATTGCTTGCTAACTGCAATAACCATGATAACAGTGCGTTGTGAAACCTGACCTATATTGTTGGCCAGGTAGCCGTATACCAGATACAGTAAAACTCGCTTATAGTGAACACGCTTATAATGAATTGACGTTTACAGCAAAGCGATTTTCATTCGCTGTGGTTTTTTTAAAATATTTTTTGAACTTAAAGAATATAATGAATTACATTTATAATGAAGCAAAATCATCCATTCCTGGCACTTCGTTATAAGCATGTTTTACTGTATATGGTACATTGTGTACCAGAATATGTCCAGAAATTGCTATAATCAATAATTTGGTATGCCCCAAAAATATTGAAAACAATACATTCTTTCTTATTTTATTGCATTCATCAGGATGTACATTTATTGAACTCATGCATCCTCTGCAAAATTAGTGCATAATTTACCCAGGATGCACAACAAAATGAATCGCTGAAAATGAGACAAAAAATACCACATCTTGTACAATAAATGATCTTCAATGACCAAGAGAGGCCAATGTGAAGGGATGTGTGATGGGTTTAGGTGCTCAAGCACAATTGTTTTGTTTAGACTGCATGGTGATAGTGATAAATGGGAATGCAAAAGCTTTGACAAGTAAGGGCAGGTAAATAAATCTACTTTATATGTAACTGAATACTTAAATAACTATTTTGTTGATCCCTGATCATCCTATTTCTTCTGGACAAAATATCTTCATCTATCAGTTTATTTTGTTGTATTCATACTATGGAACATTTACATTGTTGTATTATACTCAAGCGACCATTAAGGCCCTTTGGTCTCTTGTTTCTCAGTATTGAGTAAATACTCGTCTGTAGCAGGAATGAATTTTGTTATATAAATTTATGCCTTGTATTTTAAATGTAATGTTGTTATAAATGTTTTCATACATATATTTGTATACTGCCTTATTCCCCATATCATTTGTTTATATTTACAAACCTTCTCAGATAATAGCACGTGTTGCTTCCATCAAATTATGGGTAAATGTTTACGTTTGATGATCTAAATTCTCATTGGCTATCAATACGGAAGTTAACCTTTTGGGTGTTACTAATTTCAGTCAAAGTTCATACCCTTGGGCTGTATTCACTAGATTTTAAGTTAAAGTTTCTATTGTTTCCTAAGAGTATATAAACCTGTGTAACTGTTAGACACGTGGGGAAGCTTGAAAAGCATTAATTTGCTGTAAGTTCTCTCACTTTAATAAAGGTTTATTAGGTATATGTTAGTTAGGATATTTCTATATAAATAAGGGGTTTTTAGCTCATCTGAGCCGAAGGCTCAAGTGAGCTTTTCTGATCGAAATTTGTCTGTTTTCTGTCGTTGTTGTAAACTTTTCACATTTTCATCTTCTTCTCCAGAACTACTAGGCCAATTTCAATCAAACTTAGCACAAAGTATCCTTGGGTGAAGGGAATTTAAATTTGTTCAAATGAAGGGCCACACCCTTCTCCAAGGGGAGATAATTATGAAATAGCAAAAAATTAATGGCATTATTATTAAAAAATCTTCTTCTCAAGAACTAATGGGCCAGGAAAGATGAAACTCATGTGGAATTATTGTCAGGTAGTGTAAATTCAAGTTTCTTCAAATCATGACCCCCAGGGGTAGGGTGGGGCCACAATGGGCGATCAAAGTTTAACATAGGTGTTTATAGGAAAAATCGTCAAGAATCTTCTTCTCAAGAACAGCAAAGCTATGATTGGTCATATATATATGGAAGCATCTGTAGGTGGTGTAGATTCAAATTTGTTCAAATCATGACACCCAGGGGTAGGGTGGGGCCACAATGGACGATCAAAGTTTTCATAGAGTATGTATGAAAAATCTTCAAAAATCTTCTTTTCAAGAACAGCAAAGCTATGATTGGTCATATTTATGTGGAAGCATCCTCAGGTGGTGTAAATTCAAGTTTGTTCAAATCATGACCCCCAGGGGTAGGGGTGGGGCCACAATGGACGATCAAAGTTTTACATAGGAATATACAGGAAAAATCTTTAAAAATCTTCTCAAGAACAGCAAAGCCACAGTTTGTCATATTTACCTGGTATATGGAAGCATCCTCAGATAGTGTAGATTCAAGTTTGTTCAAATCACGACCTCCAGGGGTAGGGTGGGGCCACAATGAACGTTCAAACTTGTAGAGAAAAAAGTCACAGTTAGTCAAAAAATTATGTAAACATCCTTAGTTAGTGTAGATTTAATTTTGTTCAAATCATAATCCCCACTCCCTTTAGGGGTAGGTTGGGACCACTTCTGCATTTAAGCTTTTCAATACTAAACTGATTTTTCCTTTTTTCCTAGCCACAGTGCTCAGGTGAGCAATGTGGCCTCTGGGCCTCTTGTCTTAAATCCTTTGGAAGATAAATCAAATATTTTTCAAAACAATGTTCTAATTTAAATAACCTATAACTCTTGTTATTGTTTAAGCTGAACGAAGTTAGCTCCCTTTCATATCAAGTACATTACCTCCCTTCGTTCTTGCTGATGTGACACATTGTAAGTCATCTCTTGTTGTAAGTCATCTCTTGTTGTAAGTCATCTCTCATTGTAAGTCATCTCTCATTGTAAAGTCATCTCTCGTTGTAAGTCATCTCTCGTTATCTCTCATTGTAAGTCATCTCTTGTTGTAAGTCATCTCTTGTTGTAAGTCATCTCTCATTGTAAGTCATCTCTCTTTGTAAGTCATCTGTCATTGTAAGTCATCTCTCGTTATCTCTCGTTGTAAGTCATCTCTTGTTGTAAGTCATCTCTCTTTGTAAGTCATCTCTCTTTGTAAGTCATCTCTCGTTGTAAGTCATCTCTCGTTGTTTTGGTAATTCGCTCTTGTCTTCATCATGATTGTATGATATTTGACTCTGAATTATAAAGTATGTAGTCTTAATTGTACCCACATTCTTGTTTAAATATGGCCATTTGGGTAACATTTTCTTCTTCAACGGTTCAATTTAACATAATATTTTCTAGCTGTTTGTAAACACCAGTGTAGTAGGTAACTACATTTATTTTTTTTCTTTCATTAACAGCATTGTTTTCAGCATTATAAAATAGAACTATATATAGTATGAAATATTTACATTGAATATTTTTGCCTTTCTCTCTGATGAAAAACAATGGCTGTTTATCAATTGATTAACTCTAAACTCATGTTAGATCTGTTTTTTTATGCCCCGCCATGAATATGGCCGGGGCATATAGTGTTTGTCATGTCCGTCTTCCGTCCTTCTGTCCTTCTGTCCTTCCATCACACTTTGCGTTTAGCTCTGTTCAAAGCTCAGTTTCAAAGAAACTATCCAAGATATTTTTATCAAACTTCATATGCTGATAGATATTGATGAGAGCTATGCAACTGCATCAACAGTTTTTGACCTTGACCTTTCCTTTGACCTTGACCTCACTTTTCTTGAATTAGTGTTTAGCTCAGTTTTAAAGATACCATTCAAGATAGTGTTATCAAACTTCATATGCTGATACATACTGATGAGAGCTATTCAACTGCATCAAAATTTTTTGACCTTGACCTTTCCTTTGACCTTGACCTCACTTTTCTTAAATTAGTGTCAAACTTAATATGCTGATACATACTGATGAGAGCTATTCAACTGCATCAATATTTTTTTTACCTTGACCTTTCCTTTGACCTTGACCTCACTTTTCTGAAATAAGTTTTTAGCTCAGTTTTAAAGATACCATTCAAGATAGTGTTATCAAACTTCATATGCTGATACATACTGATGAGAGCTATTCAACTGCATCAACATTTTTTGACCTTGACCTTTCCTTTGACCTTGACCTCACTTTTCTTAAATTAGTGTCAAACTTTATATGCTGATACATACTGATGAGAGCTATTCAACTGCATCAATATTTTTTGACTTTGACCTTTCCTTTGACCTTGACCTCACTTTTCTTTAATTAGTGTTTAGCTTAGTTTTAAAACCATTCATAATATTTTTATCAAACTTCATATGCTAATACATACCGATGTAACCTTTCAACTGCATAAACAATTTTTTTTTACCTTGACCTTTCCTTTGACCTTGACCTCACTTTTCTCAATTTGTGTTAAAATGTTGCATTATTAATATACCCTCGGCGGGGCATTCATGTCCTATGGACATATTTCTAGTTTAAGCCATGTCTTAACGTAGGTCGCGGGTTTGCTGACGTTGTTAAAACTAGGTACGCAGTTTATATGATTTTGGCGACTTTCTTGTGCACATTTGATTATGACGTCACAATGAAAAAGAAATCTGCGATGATATTCTTCAGTATATCATTATTTAGCTATAACTTTTCTTGGAATTGTTAGTTTAGTGTTATATTGTTTAAAATGTTCGACATATTAGGAAATATTAAAAAAAATCATTTTGGGCCTTTCCTGCAAGCTTGGAAAAACAAGTGGTTGTTTCTCGGCTTGTCGGAAAGGCCTGAGAAGTTGCGATTGATTTGTTTTCACTTGGTGTCGTGAAACGATATGGACACAAGGTTCAACTGACCTTTTTTCCTTTGATCGTATTTGAATTATCAGTTTCTTTTAATAAGAAAGAAGCCAATATTTAAATAAATCACAAATACACCTGTTACATCAAAAGATTAAACTTTATTTTTAAGGAGGATATTTGATATATAGATGTACAAGTTTATCATAAATTAAATACTGCTAAGGTACGATGAAACATTAAGACAATTTTTTAGCGGCACTGACCTCCTGTTAGGGGACAACTATTTAATTCTGAGGGAGAGGTGTGTGTGTGGCAAATTTTACCGAGTCAGATTGTTCATTTTCATGTTGGTGAAGGACAGATTATTATTTCAAAAAAAAAAAAAACAAGGACAGACTATTTATTTCTTCTTCACTGAAAAAAGTCTGACAAGCAAAAAAAAACAACAAAAAAAACAAAAACAAAAACAAAAAAACAAAATTGAAAACTCCCATTGGGGGAGGGGGGGGGGGGGGCTAGAACTAGTTTTGGACAGATTATTTATTTTCTTGCCCAGTCGAGGACAGATTATTTATTTTCAACATTTTCGAGGACAGATTATTTATTTCCAAAATCTGTACGTCCCCTGAAATGATCGTCCCCTAAGCAACAGCTTGCAATGCTGTTACATACAGATTTTATTCGCTACTTTGCTTTCCATGTCCAACAAGTAGAATTAATGTTCTAAAAAAAACTGGCTGTTGATTATGTCAGATAAAATTGATTTTTAAATCCTCGTCCCATTTACATCTCTGAAAATGTGGTATTTAAAAATAAATATTTTGTTTTAATATATACTGAAAATATATTGTATTTAGCCGGGACGATATTTGGCAGAAATTCATAGATTTGAGCGCCTTGCTGAATGGTCTTAAATAAAAACATTTTATATACTTGAATCACTTGAATTAAAAGATACCGTTTTCGCCAGCACACTTGAAAAGAAAAATACACAGCTGAATGTAAAGATACGTCTAATCTACAAAAAAAAAGCAAAACAAAACAAACAGAAAAGAAACGGTAAGAAAACAACACATAAAGAAAGTAAATTGAAAGAGAGAAACTAAAGGATTGATTGTTGTTTTACGTCCCTTGCGAGAATTTTCACTAATATAAAACGTACAAAAAACCTAATCTGAAGAGAAACATGTCTAATAATCATTTCATTGTTATTGAATTATTATGATACGATTCACGGGTCACTTGAAAGCAGATAGACTTGAATTTCTTTTTTATAAAAATTATTTTAGCTTATTTTTCTGCACTGAATACCGGATAGATATTCACGACGTCAAGCATGGCGTCGCGATATTTTATGACGTCGTTCTTAAAAATGTAACATTTTGCGATATAAAAGCAATTATCCACATTTAAATTATCGAAAACTAACCCGAAGACATATTAATTTTTTCACATTGATTTATTTCAAATCAATTCTTTGTTAAAATACCAAAGGGAAACAATTTCGTCTGCACCATTTAAAAGTTACTGATATTTTTTGAAACAAAATCTTGCCTCAAAACGAGCCGAAAACGACGTTTTTCTTATATAATTCAATAGAATAACGTCGAAAATGTAACGCCTACAATGGCATGTTTGGGATTTAATTACACAAAAACGATGCAGACGAATTTTATAAAATTTTCAGAGAATATAAAATGAAGGTAGAGGATTCATATAGCTAATTTTCATGGTATGTTTTCGGACACTTTTGAATGGCCTGCAAACCCGCGACCTACGTTAAGAATTGGGTCTTTCATCAATGTGATGTATGGATCAATAAAACAATATTTAACATAATTTCCCCTGCTTTATAGAATGATTTATACAGATTTACATGTAAACAATAACATTTATTTCTTTCTTTGTTAATATGGAGATTATCACTTGCAACCTTTGCAGAAAAAACTAAATAACCAACTATGAAATTTTTCTGCATTGTCACAACTGTTAATCCTAGTAGGATTTTATTATTTATAAATTATTACATTTATCATGTGTATATATGAAATTGTAAATATTGGTCATTCTTATAGCTTCAGAGTGATATGTTATTGTTTTAACAATTTTTTTTCTTGTTCTAGGGTTATGAAGGTTTAGAGGGACCTGTGGGGTCCACAGGGTTACCCTGGATGTAATGAGACAAAGGTATGAAATAATTTAATCATGTATCAAATGTAATGTAATCATTTAATATGTAATAAATGATTGTCATGCATTGGAAATTATTATGAAAAATACTTTGAGTACTTATATAATGAAAGACAAAGTGAACAATAATTAAAGGAGAGAAATAGAGGGGTGGTATAAAAACATTTATTCTATCATAGATTTCAAAATGCAATTTTTTTTTCTAATAAAATTGGCATATGTTAGCCAATGTTTTCCATGCTAAGACATTGTAAATTTACAGCAAAATATTACATATCAAAAATTGATGTAGTAAACATGATGTTGGGAGTAGTGTGAAATTCCATAGGTTAATTAGAATTTTATTGTAAACATGAATGACACAAAGCAGTCTGTTATTACAGAATATTAAAATAAAAATGATTTGTGTTTGTTTATTTTAGAGACAAAAGGTAACCCTGGAGTTGATGGACTGCCAGGAAATCGGGGGCCTCAGGGTGTATCAGGTTTACCCGGACCCAAGGTAGGGTGTCATGGAAACAACACTCTAAAAAGATATAAAAATCTTTCAAGTTTTTAAGTATTGACATCTTGTGCTGTCATTTTGTTTACTCTTTTTTTGGCAACTATATTTGCACCCACAAGCAACCCCTATTGGGCATTAATTTCAAGGCAGTATAACTGATGTCAAAAGTATCACAAGCTAATTCAGGGAATTTGTGTCCCCCGCTTCATGTTATATGAAGAGCAAGGAAGACCTGAAAAAAAAAACGCAGATTGTGAAAGAGAAAAAGATTGACATTGAGCTTTAGCTTTTGGCCTTAAAGTCATGAGGGGTCTTTCTTGATTTAAAGAAATTCAGGACCTTAATTTTCATTGCAAAAGCTTACTGAAAATTAAGTTATTATCTGAAAATTATGTATGCAATATATAACTTTCTGACTTTGGCCTTTGACCTTTTCTCAAAATCAAAAGAGTCCTCTTTAAGTCATATTGACTAAAAGTATAAAATTTTATTGCAAAACAAAGAGAACTCTATATAACACCAGGAAGCCATTATTTTTTTTTCACAACATATGAATTTTTGACCTTGACCGTTTTACCTAAAATTCAAAAGGGATCTTCTTTAAGTCAATAGGAGTAATGATATGATAATATTTAATTGTAAAAGCTCAAATAAGACAAAAATTATCATCTGGAATTCAATTTTTGCAATAATTGAATTCCTTACTTTGACCTTTTGTCCTCAAAACCTTTACAGGTTGTCTTTATGTCACAAAGAGCACTCATCTTATGATAAAAAAAAGTTTTAATTGAAAAGGCTTTATGAGAACTAAAGTGATCATCTGAAAATCATTTTTTTTTTAAATGTATGAATTTCTTACCTTGATCTTTGACCTTAAAATCAACAGGGGTTTTCTGTTCAAAGAGAAGTAAGTTTACCATCTGGAAACCATTTCTTGCAATGTATGAATTACTGATCTTGACCTTTTGACCTCAAAATTGATAGAGGTCTCCCTTATGCCATAGGCAGTTGGGCAGGGCTTTCAAAAATGTTAGAAACAGGCGGTACTTTTTCAAAAATAGGAGGTAGCTTGTGGAAGAGATTTTAATTAAATTTGAGAGTTATTAAATTTTTCTCCAACGAGTATTTTGGCCGGTATATTCATAACATCAGCCGGATAAAAGTACCGGGTACCAGCACATTTCATTGCAAAAGCTCGAAAGCTCTTTGAGATATTGTCCAGACATAAAGTGTTATACACAGATAGAATGACAGACAGATGGATGGACTGATGGACAGACAGAGAAATTACTCATGTCTTCCAATCCAATTATGATAATCTGTAAAGCATACATAAAACACATAATGCACAAGTCTCTAAAGTGGCTGATCAAGTCTCAGATTGGATTTAGTGATTTTATAATGTACAATTTTGTATTTTGTTCATAAGATAATTCAAAAGATCGGCTTTAATATGTATCTTCTGGCAATAAAATGTATTTTTTAATCCACAGGGAAATCCTGGAGATGGATTTTATGGATTTGGTTCAAAAGGTGATCCGGGTAATCCAGGATGAAGGGTTCCTAGTGTAAGTATCAACACCATAACAACTGGATTTCAGACGTGTTATCTCACACTATATATAATGAAATGTAAATCTTAATGTAACTTTAACAAGTTAAGTTCTATGATTAAATTTCAGTAAAGGATCATTCTCTATAAGGCCGTTTTGCAGCCTACAATGACTTCAAATTTTCAAATAGTATTTTTTCCCTTAAAAACTGCATGAGTCAGTAGGCTAATGTTCCAATTTAATGATAAATGTTGATTGGTTAATGATACAAAAGTATTTGTTATGATATAGGGTCACAAAGTAAGGTACTATCGGTTGGTATTAGCATTAGGGTAATGGGAAAACTCAAGAGGGTTGGTGTGTTAGGTAACTCCTATACATGTCATAACCACCTTTAACCAACACCAAAATTTGCATGTAAACTTCTTATGAACATAAAAAGTGACTACCAAATTATCAACTTGGTTAAAGGTGGTTATGACATGTAAATAAAAACTTTTCACTTCATTTTTATGATATTTGCAGGAAAAGCTAACTACTTACAATGAAGGATATCAGCTTATGTAGATTATTTCTTATTATAAACTTCCACTTAGAGTACATGTTTCTATTGATTTACTAAGAATTTATATAAGCCATGCATGTTTACTCAAAAAAGGTAAACTTTTTACTTAAAAAATCTAAAATCAAAGGACTGAAATGACTGGTTGTTATGAAATTACGTGAAGACAAGTCTCATTGAACTATCTGCTAGAAATAAATTTTTTATAGACTATAAGGCATGAATATAAGTTACTTATTATAATTATATTATTTATAAGGATAGTTTAGTTTATCTATGCTACTTCTTTGTATTTGTATTTCCTTAGGAGTACTGCATATTTGTTATTAGTTCTAGAAATGATAAAAGCTATTTTTGTTGTAGCGGGAAGATGCATTTGCTATTTGTGTTATAAACTTAATTTTTCTATGGGTACACATGTAACTTTTATAGATAGAGAATTACTGATGGGATGGTTTCATAATGGAAATTCTCGCCTTGACCTTTTAGAAGGACACTTTTCCGTATGAGTGACATAGGATCCATGTATTTTGTTAACTGGGTGTTGAGAGGACTCAATCTATTCATCACACTTCTTTGGTAGCATCAATATAAGTTATGAGAACAGTAGTTCTGTCTTCGAAAATAAAACGCCAAGGAGGAAAGGGGTTCCTAAATGTCACGTGATTGATAATTGAATGTTGCTTTACGTCATTTTAGAATTTTTCACCCAGATAAAGAGATCATCCACTTAAGGTGAAGTGTCACAATTTTGATTTATGCATGGTTTCAGTATTGACCAACACCTACCGTGGGACAGGACCTCCTTCTTTAAGATAATATCCAAGAGACCCATGACTTTTACTTTTAATGCTGAGGACTTAGCAAAGGAACTGTCACTACCCGTGTTAAACACCTTAGTTCTTGACGCAGCACGGAAAGAGAATTTAATTCTCAGGTTTCAAGAGTGCGAAAGGAGTGTCATCTCTTATGGTCCAATTTGTACCTGGGATGTTGTAGAACTCTATTAGTCCATGGATCATGGATATACTAAAACTTCTGATATGCGTAGTGGAAGGAACTGTTGAAAATTTACTCCATTTTATGGAGTGCCGTGGGGGGGGGGGGGGGGCTCAACTTTTATACTTACATTTGTGTATTATAGTTAAGATAGCATTTTAAATTAAATATATTGTTTTACATGCGTAATTAAATTGAATCAAATCAACTCTTACGATGTTATTTCATTTTACGTCAATATATATATATTTAATACAGCCGTTCTGAGTTTTATGTACTGACTATTAACATGTACTTGCATTGATATTTTCATCCTGTAAATTAATGAATTCTTTATTTTTTTTGCAAATGTAGACTATATTTTATAAATTACAACTTAATTTTGATTTAATCACAAACAAAATTCATTCATTGCTTTAAACATTTGATACACAACTTTTATAGTTCAAAAGAAACTTAGAAATCTCATGTCTTGCATGGGCATTTTATGCGTAAAATAGGTACCACATCTATAGAAACAATACACAAGTACAATATAAACATATATGAAATAATACTTTTAATTAAATGCTAATTAAACATTTTTCAACATCGTACGAGGTGCATTTTGTAAAGATTTACATTCAAAATATGCAAAATGTGAATGCGTCAAATTCTTGCCATAAAAAAATATCTTTAGCCTTAAATTAAACAATCTTTGCTTTTATTACTTAAGTCTGATATGTTTCCGACATAAATAAACAATTTTTGATCATTGACATCTAGAAACATGCCTGAAAACTTGATGTAAATAGACCTACCCTCAATTTTTCTTTACTTGACGGCCGTTTGTGATCTTTAAATCACGCGACTTAGGTGATAGATGTTGAAAAACAAACATCAAAACATGAAATATAATGATTAAAGTTACATAAAATCACATTTTTAAGTGATTTTATCGTAGGCCGGAAAATGGCCCTATAGAGAATCATCCTTTAAGAGCTTTATTCCATAATAAATATTTCTGTAATTGTTCCAGTTTATGTCTGACAATGATTAAATCTTGGACATATCTATTTTTAGGGTGATCCTGGCATTCCAGGTCGACCTGGACTCCCTGAGCCTTTTGGCCCTCCAGGTCCTAGGGTAAGAAATGTTCAGTCAGTTTCTATTATGACACATGTACAATTATCAGAAGACAACAGGATCTCACAAGGAAAAAATCGATATTTTTATGCCCCCATTGTGGGGGCCCATTGCGGGTCCACAATGGAGGATCAAAGTTTTACATAGAAATATATAGGAAAAATCTTTAAAAATCTTCTTCTCAAGAACAGCAAAGCCCTGATTGATCATATTTATGTGGAAGTATTTATTGTTTTTGTCCTGTCTGTCTGTCTATCTGTTTGTCTGTCTGTCTGTTGTCAACTTTAACCCATAACTTTTGATTGGTTAGAGCTATGACTTTCATATTTCACATGTGTATTCCTTGTGACAAGACCTTTCCTTGGGTACCATCATATTTGACCTTTTGACCTTGACCTTGGAGTTTGACCCACTTTTGCAAAATTTTATGAGACTTTAACCTTGGCCATAACTTCTGAACAGTTGGTGCTTGGGGTTTCAAACTTCACGTGTATTCCTTGTGACAAGACCTTCCTTTGGATACCAACCACTTTGACCCTTTGACCTTGACATAGGAGTTTGACCTACTTTCAAAAAACTTTAACCTTGGCCATAACTTTGAATGATTGGTGCTAGGGCTTTCATACTTTACATATTTAATCCTTGTGACAAGACCTTCCTTTAGATAACAACAACTTTGACCTTGACCTAGACGTTTTACTTACTTTTAGAAAACTATAACCTTCGCCATAACTTTTGAACAGTTGCAGCTAGGGCTTTCAAATTTCACAGGTATATTCCTCGAGACAAGACCTTTCTTTGGATACCAACATTTTTTACCTTTTGGCCTGGATTTTGACTTGCATTTGAGAAACTTTAACCTTCGCCATAAGCTGCCATATGGGGGCATCAGTGTTTCACAAACACATCTTGTTGTTTCCATAATTTGCTATACCTGTACAAGATTATACATGTGTTATAGTAAAATGATTTTAAGACAAATTTAATGAAACTACTTTGCTTCACGAATTACAGTTCATAAATATAGCATCAGCATACAGTAAAACATGCTTTATATATGAATGCTTGTGATTTTGCTTTGTGATAAATGTAATTCTTTATATCTGTTAGCTTCACAATAAGTTTAAAACTCTGGGGAATGAAAATGACTTCACTGTAGGCATTAATTCATTATAAGTGTGTTCGCTATAAGCATGTTTTACTGTATTTCTATTTTTATTATATAAACACAAATGTTTAAAAAGTACCATATTGATTTTTGATATAATAAATGAAAACAGTATAAGGGAGATAATTTTTCTCTCTGTACACCATTTATTGTTATTTGCTAGTTCCTGCAGGAAGTGATCAAAATACAGTCAAACCTCCTTGTCTCGAACTCGATGGGACCGAGAAAAAACTTCAAGATATCTGAAGATTCGAGATATCGAGGGTAAAATACATAGAAGAATAAGTGGGTGGGACTTCCAAATCGCATCGACATATCCATGGTATTTGAGATATTAGTGTTTGAGATACCGAAGTTCAACTGTAACTACATAAATTTTTTTTGATCTTGTAACATAAGTCTAGAAATACAAGAACATGAAAGAAGATAAGTACATGTACCTGTCCCAGTGTTGAGGAATTTTTTTGGTCTGTTTTCTTTGGTCATATTTTCAAAATAAAATATATTGACATAAATTTGCTAGATCTTTATGATATCTCTTCATTATTCCAACAATGAAGCCATCAAAGAAGTGGGGTACAGGGAGGGGAAGCAGGAAATTACTAAATAGTATTGAATATATTTTAGGGCATTCATATGATGTAGTTTTTTTTAATTTTAATTTTCTTGTAGCTCAGTTGAATATTGTGGTACCTTCATTTATCATAAAATGTATCTTTTCTAATTAAATATAACTTCTTTAAAATTTTTAGGGGCCGACTGGAATTCCAGGAGGTAACCGGGCCAAAGGGAAGCATGGGAGACCAGGTTAGAAATCCCCCCAAAGGTGAAAAGGTCAGTGTTCATTGGTAGTTGAAGTTACAGGTATACTTCTGTAGATAAATCACTTATCATGCATTATAATCATTCACCACAATGTTGTTGAAGAATAGCACATGTAATGTAAATAGTCTAAGAATATTTCATGCAAAATATCCTTTATTATTTAACCAATGCTAAAGAGGCATTAGAAAGTTTATTTTGGTCACCAGTGTAAATGTAAAACATTGAATTTATCATTAAGAAAATTTTAAAACTGTGTAAAAATTCCAGGCTAATTGACCTGTTGTGTTGACCTATAATTTACATGATTGTTTGTTTTCAGGAAGAGGTAGGATTACCTGGTCTCAAAGGTCCTAAAGGCTCCATCGCAACTTTACCAGGAAACAAACCAAACGAGATTCTGATGGAAGAAAAGGGGTAGAGCCAGGTGAGGGAGGAAGACCTGGAAGACCCAGATTTAATGGAATGAGTGGTGATCCGGTTAGTGGGAAATTCCCTACTGTTACTCTCTCTGTCATAACAATCCAACTTAACTTGAAAAGAGCAAGAGCCACTTAGGGCCTTTTTTGGCCCTGAGAATTTTTGAAAAATCGAAACTGCTCAGTTTTGGTTGAAAATGCAGAATTTATAACTTGGACCCTTGGTGACCGTGTATCTATTGAACATGACGTAATTTTCTCTCTAGTCAATGCATTATGACGTCATAAAATGCATCATTTTTCCCATATCCTGTAAATTCCCTTAAAAATGGCCAAAAGTTGAGGTATTTTTTCAATATTTCATATAGAGCACAACCTCTGATCCAAAATATGCAATTACATAATGAAAGATCTGTTTCTGAAGATCAAAACATGTTTTAATTTTTGGACCGTGCAGGGCTGTGCTCATATTTTATTTCTTTGCTGAGGATAGTCAAATACACATGTTTTCTGCAAAATTCAAGAACATTGCATTTTCTCAAAGCCTGTTTTCCAATACCTGGATTCTCAAAAAGAAATTTTGTTATAGGAAATGAAAGCACTAAGTCTCTACTTTATTTTGATATATGAAATGGGACAGAGGGTGATAGTCAATTAATTGATATAAGGGCATGGCCATTTTATGCAAAAAGTGAACCTAGCTCTTTGTCTTTTATTATTCCTTTATCTGAAGGCCATAGACATGGACAATCTGTAATAAGTTGTAGTAGAAAAATTTAATTTCATATTATATAACAATTTTTTGAAAAACATGTACCGGTAACTGAAAAAAACATAGACTGAGATAGATTTGATTTATAATGTAGCTTTCATTGACTTTTACCTGGATTTTTGTTTTTAGGGATTTCCAGTTTTGCCAGGTGATAAAGGGCCTTTTGGGATGCCTGGAATGCAAGAAATGAGGGAATGCAATGATGGGGGGATCATTTTGACTCTTTATTTGCCCTTATTTTTATGGCGATTTTAATTTTATGTCTTAGGTATGGTGATAATATGATATTTTGTTTCTATGACCTTTTTTTTGGGCAAGAGAGGTAAGGACGGCCCACCAGGACCCTATGGTTTGGAAGGAGAACGGAGAAAAGGGGAGACAAGGATATGATGGATTACCAGGAGGAACAGTAAGATCCACCCCTCAAATTAACTAAGGCATAAAGGCTTATTTTAGATTTTAGTAAAATAGAGTGGCAACAAACAATAACTGATAGACTAGAAAGTTCAGATTTTACACTATTTATGGAGTTCTGAATAAGAAATTTATAATTAGATCTTATGTCACAATCAGGGTAAATTTTGTATTTTTGTCACCTTTCCTAAGGCTGTTTCTCTGCTTTTAGGGCAGAACTGGAGACCCTGGTTTTCAGGGGATGAGGGTGACCTTGGAGATCTGGTAGGTTGCCATGACAATACAATTATTTGGCAATGTTACATAATATCTTTATAATGATATTCAAATTGTTTAATATGTATAGATTTCAAAAGTAGTAGTGAATTACTTGCATCACATTAATTGCTCAGTACAGTCCTCATTTGGAAAATCTAGAATCAGACCCAAAATTGTTTCCATTTGTGAACCTTTCTCCTCAAAATTTGCATGTGATTAATTTTTGAAATTGTACATGATTTTAATCCTTCAATATTCCAAATTTGGAATATTTGGAAGCAGTTTTTTTGTGTCATTTCCAAAATATATATAAGAAAAATTATCCATACTTATTTACAAATTCTTAATGAATAACAAATAGTTTTGATTTTACTAAATTTTAATGTTTAGAATTCAGTTAAATATTCAAGTACATGTAAATGATTTAAAAAAATGAAATTGCAGGGTCCAGAAGGAGATCCAGATGGTGCGAGTCAAGGTCGTCCTGGACCCAGAGGTCGACCTGGTGACCCTGGCCCACAAGGTCTTCCAGGATTCCCGGGTAAGGTTTAGGAATTCAATTAATAATTACTTGGTATAAATAGATGTGAGAATTAATATTTAGAAATGCTGTCAGATGATTGATCTTATAATTTGTATACTGCACAGGAAATGACGGTCTAGATGGTCAAATGGGACGTGATGGTCCCCCTGGCCTACCGGGGCCTGTTGGGATACCTGGGAGGAGAGGACCTGTTGGATTCTCCTATCCAGGAGACAAGGGAGACCAAGGTATTTTTTTTAGGATTATTATGTTGATTTGCACAAAGTACAAAAATTTAGGTTTTTTTATTTCTTTTTTTCTTTGAATAATCATAGCATTGTGCACTTGTTTGCATTTTCTCAATCCCTAATTAACATTTTCTAAGCTCAAGCAATGATTACTTATTTTATTCCAGGTGGCTTTGGTCTTGATGGAGTGCCTGGATTGCCTGGAATACCTGGATTAAAAGGAGTGCCAGGAGATTTGGGACCACCTGGAGAAACGGTTCAAGGATACACTGGTGAACAGGGCCAAGTAGGAAGACCTGGTCTTGATGGACTTCCTGGTACTAGGGGAGAACCTGGTCCTGAGGGATTTCCTGGTATCCGTGGAGATGGTCTGGATGTTACTGGTCCAAGAGGTCCTTCAGGATTTCCCGGAGAGGAGGGAGATCCAGGAATCCCTGGAGAGGATGGGCGTGATGGAATCCCAGGAGAAAGAGGTATGTCTTTTTTCTTTTCAATATATTAATAGATAGTTTGAAAGAAAATGTTGAATTTAAATAATAATGAGCTTTAATACTTTAGCACCAACTTAAAAGAATTGTTATTCCAAATCTGAATTTGAATGCTGTTACCTGTTAGACAGCTGACTATTCTGTGCTTTGTGAAGGCTAGTCAGCTGGTTCTTATCCTATGTTGGACAGCTGACTATTCTGTGCTTTGTGAAGGCTAGTCAGCTGGTTCTTATCCTCTGATCATTCATTGACTAGTAGGCTTGTGTAAAATCAGAGCAGATCTAAACCAAATGATAGCATTGTCATGTTTGTGGATATCTTAGGACACTAAAAAGGATTGACTTAATGTTAAAAAGCTGTGTCACTGGGGTGTATGGTGATAATAGGCATTGTGGGGATCATAAACCTTTTATTCAATTACATGTGCACCTATCAAGGTTTTCCCTTTTCACCATGAATTAACTAGCTTTGTTGTAAAGCCAGTGTCTTTTTTTTTCATGCAATTTTTTCCCTATCTGTTCAATTTCAGGTAGAAGAGGTGACGACTGTGGGGTTTGTCCTGGGGGTGAGCCTGGTTTTAGGGGAGATCCAGACGATCCCGGTTTTGATGGACTTCCTGGACAACCAGGTCAACCAGGTTTCCCAGGACAACCAGGAGAACCGGGCATACCTGGAATACCTGGTCAAAAGGGCATACCAGTAAGTGAAACCAGATGAAAAACATTTCTATCCAGTGTCTTGGATTTTAAAAGTATTACAAGCTTCAGTTACCTGTAGTTGCTAGGAATACTCTTCAACAAAATATATGTTGCTCAAATCTCATCGGTAACTCTTTTGTTTTTAATAAACTTACACATACCCATAGCTTGACCATTTGGATGCCATCTTTATATAAGAGGATAATTTGTTCCCATTCACATTCAGTACTTTGAAAATGCTGTAAGCAAATTAATGACGATAAAATACAGTCAATTCTTGAAATATTGCCATTTGTTTCATGCCATCCTCACAATAATGCCATGATTTTTCAGGAACATTTTTCCTGCTTTGTAAAATTCTCTTTATAATGCCAAATTCACATACCACCATCCGCCACCCTGTTTTCACAATAAACTTCCATTCCAAAGTGTCAGTTATCTCAATATATGGTTTGTTCCCGTTTTGCACACATTTGAATTTCAGGTATTGAAAAAATGTGTGCAAAACGGGAATTTGTCCAGGTAAGATAATTACTTAATTGATATAGTCTATATCATAGTTGTGAATTTGGAGAAAAAGAATCTATTGCAAGTATATGAAGAAAATTGATTAATTTTGCATTAATTATTTTTCTATTTTGATTTATTTCTGTAATTTCATAATAAGAAAAAATATTTCAAAACATAAAAAAAATTTCATAAATACTAATCAAAACTATAATAATTTATTGTAATGTACATTCATATGATACTAACTGGGCAAATAATTTTTTTTTATTAAGATTGAATTCATTAACTCATTCATATTATCTTCATGAAGTTAAGAAAAGGGGGGACTGCAATAATTATATTTGTAGACCCGATTTATCAATTTCAGTTGGAATGGACATGTTAAATTTTCAAACTTTATTCTTTTAAATATTTATTATGATGCATTGGTGAAATATTGGTAACTCAAGGTAAATCCCAGACGGGGATCAGACTATAATTGCTATCAAAACATATTTAACACCTATTGTTCTATACCTAATTATCAAATGTGTGCAAAACGGGAACACACCCAATATACTACCACAGGTGCATGTAGTCAGTGAAGCGTTTAATTGGTTGTCGCTATCCAGATCACCATTGTAAAAACAGACAAGGTAATTAGAGAATTAAATAAACAATAAATTTTATTAAACATTAACTGTAATTAAAAATTTGCTTTCTGTTTAATAAAAATGATATCGTCATGGCTAAAGTTCTCCAATGACTATATTGGTTTGACAATCCCTACTTCAAACGATGCAAAGTTTGCTTTAAAAACAGTGATACAGTATTAATTGTGAAAGTTTCAGCAACGACAATGCCTTGAACAAATGTATTTACAGGATTACATATTATTGGCAATAGAACAGGACAATCCTCACTGTATTTTTTAAAAACAAAAGTTATCATACATAAAAACTTATTTCAAGCATTTTCTTAATTTAAATTGAAATGTGTTTTTATATTATAATAAATACTACAAAGAAAATAAACACTAAATTTTTTATTTTCAAGAATGGTAACTCTACTTCATGTTTCCCTAAAGATGGGAAATTCAATTCATCCCAAATTTGTTATACCACATTGAATTCTAAATTACAAAAGGTGGTGGTTTATTGAGAATTTACTGTAGATGTAATGTAAGAAGTTTAATAATTTTAAAGATTGGACCGGTTTACAGTTCAATAACAAAATTGTTGGAATGCTCCCCTCAGCATTTGATTTTTTTTAGCTCACCTGAGCCAAAGGCTCAAGTGAGCTTTTCTGATCAAAATTTGTCCATTGTCTGTCGTTGTTGTCGTCGTTGTTGTCATTGTCATTGTTGTTGTAAACTTTTCACATTTTCATCTTCTTCTCAAGAACCACTGGGCCAATTTCAACCAAACTTGCCACAAAGTATCCTTGGGTAAAGGGGATTCAAGTTTGTTCAAATGAAGGGCCACGCCTTCTTCCAAGGGGAGATAATTAAGAATTCGTGAAAAATTAATGGCATCATTAAAAAATCTTCTTCTCAAGAACCACTGTTCTTGAAAATATGGAACTTATGTGGAAGCATCCTCAGGTAGTGTAGATTCAAGTTTATTCAAATCATGACCCCTGGGGGTCGGGTGGGGCCACAATGGGCGATCAAAGTTTTACATAGGAATATATAGGAAAAATCTTTAAAAATCTTCTCAAGAACAGCAAAGCCATGATTGGTCATATTTATATGGTAGCTTCCTCAGGTAGTGTAGATTCAAGTTTGTTCAAATCATGACCCCCGGGGGTCGGGTGGGGCCACAATGGGCGATCAAAGTTTTACATAGGAATATATAGGAAAAATCTTTAAAAATCTTCTTCTCAAGAACAGCAAAGCCATGATTGGTCATATTTACATGGAAGCATCCTCAGGTAGTGTAGATTCAAGTTTGTTCAATCATGACCCCCGGGGGGTCGGGTGGGGCCACAATGGGCGATCAAAGTTTAACATAGGAATATATAGGAAAAATCTTTAAAAATCTTCTTCTTAAGAACAGCAAAGCCATGATTGGTCATATTTACATGGAAGCATCCTCAGGTAGTGTAGATTCAAGTTTGTTCAAATCATGACCCCTGGGGGTCGGGTGGGGCCACAATGGGCGATCAAAGTTTTACATAGGAATATGTAGGAATAATCTTTAAAAATCTTCTTCTCAAGAACAGCAAAGCCATGATTGGTCATATTTATATGGTAGCATCCTCAGATAGTGTAGATTCAAGTTTGTTCAAATCATGACCCCCGGGGGTTGGGTGGGGCCACAATGGGCGATCAAAGTTTTACATTGGAAAATATAGGAAAGGTCTTTTAAAAATTTCTTCTCAAGAACAGCAAAGCCATGATTGGTCATATTTACATGGAAGCATCCTCAGATAGTGTAGATTCAAGCCACCGGGGGTCGGGTGGGGCCACAATGGGCGATCAAAGTTTTACATAGGAATACATTGGTTTAATCTTTAAAAATCTTCTATTCAAGAACAGCAAAGCCATGATTGGTTATATTTAAATGGAAGCATCCTCAGATGATGTAGATTCAAATTTGTTCAATTCATGACCTCAGATGAGCTGATTTAATTTTTTACCTGTATAAGGGTTTATCATAATTTTGTTTTTTTGGAAACTGCACTGAAGTTGGATAAAACTTGCAGGGTTCAGATGGTTTTCCTAGAGAAGTTGGAAGGGTTGGACCTAAAGGTGAGCCTGGGGATTTGGAAGTCCCCTTCACTCTAAGAATGAAGGGGAAGCCTGGCGAGCAGGGACCAAGGGGACCAGTTGGCAGAGCATGATCACCAGGATCTGGTGGCCCCCACAGACCCCCAGGTTTCTCTGGGATACCTGGAGAAAGGGTAAAAGTCACTACTTCAAATAAGAGAAAAATCAAATTTTGTTTCATTGTCTGTTAGCTTTTGAGAAGTAGGACTTAAATGATGAGACTTTGTTTTCTGACAATTTCTTCCAAGTTCTTCTTGCTTTACGTTTTTTCAACTGTATGGATCCAGAATGATATGGAGAAACATGTATAGATAATGCACAGAATAAATGAATGAGAAAAAGTACATTGTGGATAGTATTAATGAGTTTTGTATTTACTGACACCTTTCTCTTCTAGTTAAAAGAAATCATAAAGTGGTATACAACCATTTTAGATACACTGTAATTATTAATAACAATCTGTTGGACTTTGTTTAAAAAGATGTAATTTTTAAAATAAATGATGAATGGATGATATAATGTCAATAGTTCTAGCAATAATTGCCTGAAAATTTACAGGAAACTGTTTATTTTTAAAAAGATACTAAAAAGATAACAAATCTACTTAATCTATGCTATGTCTATTGTACTCTTATCCAGTAAATTACAAAATTGAAATTGAAATCATGTCATCATGAATGAGGATAAAGATAGAATAAGGAGATGGCATTATGGAAAGAAATTTTATGGTTTGAATATATAAATATTTTTGATATTTCCAGGGTATTGTTGGAGACCCAGGACTAAAGGGCTTGGATGGTTTGCCTGGACTACAAGGGGAAGATGGTCTGCCTGGTGAATTTGGAGATTCCATTCCTGGAGAAGTTGGATGTGCTGGACCTAAGGGATTTCCTGGACTGGTTGTGAGGGCCCCCCTGGATTAAAAGGTAGAGCCTTTTTACTGAGGCAGTATATAGAATAAGTAAGGAGTGAAAGCAAGTCATTTTGTTTTTTAAATTCTATAAGATGATAACATACATAAACAAATGAAAATTCACAAATACACTTTCAAATGCTCACATTTGGAAAATTGCATGTTGCTTCTTGCCATTAGTTTCGTATTTTAATGTACAAATGACAGGAATTGTTTTTTAAAAGATTTCTTTTTTTAGCTCACCTGAGCTGAAAGCTCAAGTGAGCTTTTCTGATCACCCGTTGTCCGTCGTCCGTCCGTCCAGCTATCCGTCCGTCTGTCCATCCATCAGTCTGTAAATTTTTCTCATTTTCAACTACTTCTCAAGAACCACTGGGCCAATTTTAACCAAACTTAGTACAAAGCATTCTTGGGTGAAGGGGATTTTAAATTGTTAAAATAAAGGGCCAAGTCCCCTACAAAGGGGAGATAATCAAGAAAATACAAAAATTGGGTGGGGTCATTAAAAAATCTCCTTCTCAAGAACCACTGGGCCAGAAAAGCTGAAACTTATGTGGAAGCATCCTGGGGTAGTGTAGATTCTAAATTGTTCAAATGATATCCCCTGGGGGTAGGGTGGGGTCACAATAGGGAATCCAAGTTTTACATTGAAATATGTAGAAAAAAATCTTTAAAAATCTTCTTCTCAAGAACCACTGGGCCAGAAAAGCTGAAACTTATGCGGAAGGATCCTGGGGTAGTGTAGATTTTAAATTGTTCTAATCATGACCCAGGGGGGTAGGGCAGGGCCACAATAAGTACTAAGGGGGGGGGAGAAATCAGGTGAAAAACAGCAAGGCCAAAATTACTCATTGTGGCCCATGATCCTTTTGTTTCTAAATTTGCCTAGGCCTTTTCCCTCGGCTAGGTTGGGCTAGCATTTCCGTATGCTAGGTTGGGGGGTGATTTTTATACGGTTTTTAGGATTTTTCTACAAGGCAGGAATTTACAGTTGTTTTTTATTTATACTATAATTTTTTTTGGTTTGTCTATTTAAACAATAAAATGGTTTCTTTGGTTGTTAGTATGGGAATTAATGTCGCAGCTGTTGCAGAAAAAAATGCGTAATCAATTATTGTATTATTGATATGTACGTCATAGTATGCTTCATTGATGGAACAGCCACTGATCAAGAAATCCATACAGGTGATATGCCTATAGTGTTCTTCATGAACTATAAACGGCAATGGTTTTCTTTAGAAATAAAGAGAAAATATTCAGTGGATGTAAATATACAAAGGTTAATAAATTTTGTTGTTTATTGGAGCTGGTGTTTTCATTACAATTGACATGAGGTGTTGAAATAAGGTACAAATAAGCTCGGAAATAAGACCAAGCAGAATCTCAAATCAAAATAAGAACCTGGGAAATAATAAACATGAAAATATAGGAGAATGTATACAAAAATATTCTAGAACCACTAATGAAAATGGTGTTCTAAAGTTTACTCCTATTACACATCCAATCAATTCTGAAACTATTAAGGATTGTTCCTTGCAATTTATGAATTAAAGTGGTTTCTGGAGAGAAAAAATTGGAGTCAGTTGGTCAAAGTTTGCCACTTAAACCAAACTTGTCACAAAGCGTCCTTGGGTGAGTGGGATTCATGTTTATTTAAATGAAGGACCACAAACAAAATAAGTTGTCTCTTACAATGAGACTTACAGTTAAACATTTTGTGAAAGGGTTACAGCTTAATGTTTTTGAACAGATCTTATTCCAAAGTAACTAAGCCCTATGGTGACTAAACATGTATGGATGATGCATCTAGGGATGCACACTACTAGGCTTGCTTCTGAAGCTGGATCTGACCTACATTTTTTGAATGAATAAAGTTTTTTTTATCCCCAGCAATTGAAGATTTGGGAGTTATAAAGGAAACACCTAGTCAACAACTATTCCATAATTCTAAAAGAATATTCATGACCAAAGGATTTGTCATTTTTTAAACCAAGGTCTTTTTAGCAAGTTCAAGGTTCAAGGGGGGAGGGGGGGTGGTACTATTTTATGAGCTTGCTCATTGTACCTCTAGTTGTAGCAAGTTTCATTCCCAATAATTGTATTAAGCCCTTTGATAAACAAGCTATCATGGGAGATGCATTGATACATCTGCACACTACCAGACTTGATGAACACTACCAGAACATTTATTTGGTGTGAGGTGAGGCTTTGCCTTATACTGGTAGATAACAGTGTCAAGGTGAACTCTTTAAGGTTAAGATGCTTAGAATAGCAAATCCCTCTTTGTTGCATGTTTAAATGAACAGCTTTCAAATTACAAAATTCAAGGACAGCATGCATGTTTTCCTATCTTTTTGTCCTCTGCTTTCACTGAAAGTGGGGGATATTAATTTGGGTCTAGCTGTCTGTCAGTCCATCCATCCAGCTGTATTTTTGTCTGTCTGTAATACTTTTGTTTCTGCGCAATATCTCAAGAACCCTTAGAGCTTTAGCAATGAAATTTTGCATAGCAACTCCCTATGGCCTAAAGAAGAACTGTATTGATTTTGAGGTCAGAAGATCAAAGGTCAAGGTCATAAATTCTGTCTGTTTTAACACTTTCATTTCCACGCAATATCTCGAGAATCCTTTGAGCTTTTGCAATGAAATTTACATAACAACTCCCTGTGGCCTAAGGAAGACTCCTATTGATTTTAAAGTCAAAAGGTCAAGGTTCAAGGTCGTAAATTCATACATTCCGTCTGTGTGTAACACTTTCATTTCCGGGCGATATCTCAAGAAGCTTTTGAGCTTTTGCAATGAAATTTTATACCTTAACTCCCTATGGCCTCTCTGGCCCCTCTCAAAGTGTCCCGCCCCGTTTTTTTTTTTATTGTATTAGAAGTCCTGGGGACTATTTTTAGCACAGGGGCATGTGGAGAGTTATTGCATATTCTATTAGAACTGTTTAGTGAAGGCTAAATTAGACACCATGTATTGACTAAAATTTTGACAATATCGAACTTGAATATAAATAAACATTATATGTGACCTAATGTTTGCATTTAGTTTCTTGTATAATCAAGTGGCATCCGTGGTCTAGGGAAATGATTCTTGCTTAGCAAGTGAGAGGTACTGGGGTCAAATCTTGGACGATACCTTTTTTTTAAATTTTTTTTTGGGGGGGGATTTACTAAATGATAGTATTCAACATGTGAAATGAAAAAGTTATGACGTCTGGCTTGCAAAACTCATAAAATCATTATTACTGTGTGATAAATATTCTATATAAAAAGAATCTTCTATACACATATTAAAGAATAAGCAATCAAATCTTTATATCCATATTAGCATTTTCTATTTCCTTCAGTATACATGTATTCATTTAATAATTCTACAATCCAGGGATGGAGTCCCCCCCCCCCCCCCCCCGAACTGCGCATGCTCTTCTTTTTTCCCTAAGCGGGGGACACAAATTCTCGAATTAGATTGTGTTTTATTGTTTTCATCACAAAACAGTTTGTTTCTTTTTGAAACATTTTATGACAAATTACATTTGATGATTTTATCGTGAGTTACAAAAAAAATATTTAAAACATACAGTACCATATCTTGAAGCATATTTTATTTTATGAGACATCTTTTGAATATTATTTCTTATTTATCAAATTCTAAAAAGAAAATGGTATTTTTATTAAATGAAGTAAGGAAGTCAATTCAAATTTTGCAGGAGAGGAGATGCTTTACCGACAATGCAAATGATGGTTGATGGAGTAGTTAGAACTAGTGTTCCAGATCTGAGATACAGGTTAAGGGGGAATGTCACAGTGGTTTTAAAAGTTATTCATCTCTACTGACAGTGACTGTAGGAGAGGTAAGTATGAAAGTTCTAAATGCTCTCTGTTAATGATTATAATTTTGAGTAATGTATACTGTAAACATATTATGGTAAGTACTAGCTGTACTAAAATGTTTAAATACAGTTGAACTTCGGTATCTCAAACACTGATATCTCGAATGTCATGGGTATGTCGAAGTGATTTGGAAGTCCCAACTACTTATTCTTTCAGTATTTTACCCTTGATATCTCGAATCCTAATCCTTGGATATCTCGAACTTTTTCCTCATCCCATCAAGTTTGATATAATGAGGTTTTACTGTATTTTGTAAATTTAATTGGGCAGTGGTGTAGTCAGCATATCCAGTTGACACACAGTGACAGTAGCTAGTTAATGCTCTCTGAGCATTGAACCCAGCTAAAAAAGGATAAATTGTGTGAAATTATCTATCAAACTGCTATGCCTACATTTCATTTGATGTCAAAACTTGCAATTGTTTCAAGATTAAAAACATCAGGCTGCATGATTCTGTACATTTAACTAGGTGCAGGTGCTTGTAAACTGTTTTCATTTATTTTTATTACAAATAAGTAGAGCTGCAGTGTCATCATAGATTTCTGGTTAATAATCAGATTTGTAAATTTTAAAACTAAGCACATTAAAAATCTAATTTCAGGTGAAGAGGTGGTCACTTTCACATGATGAAAAATCTACCGCTGATTTCAATATCAGAAACTTGAAGTTTACAGGCCAGTCTTTAGAGAGCTTGTTAGGGTGGCATGGAGGAGAGCTCTTAGTGGAATGGAAAAAGTCTGCTTTACAAGATACAAATTTAGGAATAATTTGTGTTAAGAACATGGTTAGTAAATTTAAATTAATATCAATGCTGGAAAGGCTCAATGTACTTTTCTGATTAAATTTTGTCAATTGGCCATATGTCTTTTGTTTACTTTTCACATCTTCACATTTTGAACTTTCTTCAATTGAAGAGCCACATCCTCATGCAAGGGGGGGATAATTAAAAAAGACAAGAATAGGGTGGGTGTCCTTTAAGGTCATTTAAGACAACCACTGGGCTAGAAAAGACGAAACTTTTGTAAAAATTAGCTTTTTGGTAGTAGAGTGGGGCATCAATGGGCAATCAAAGGTTGACATAGTAAAACATAGGAAAAATATTTAAAAATCTTATTCTCAAGAACAGCAATGGCATGATAAGTCATGCCATGGGAAAGGCTCAGTGTACAAACAAGTACTTATGATGTCAGTGTATGAAACATACTGAAATCAGTCCATGTAAAGTTTTTTTGTTTTCACATTTGCTTGTATAAGATAAATATAATATGGTTATATCAATATTGCAGATCATTTTCACGTGTTTGAAGTTGGACAGAGAGCATTTATCAAACTTAGCACACGGTCATTCAGTGGAAAATGAGAGAAGTGTAATCTGCTACTCAAAGCCTTACAACTTCTTTGTTAGAAAAGATCAAGAAGAAATTAGGGATACACTGTTTCATCTTGGTTTGCTCTGCAGACTTGGAAGTTTACACCTGCTTCAGGATTAGCAACACATTTTGCTTTTTTGTGTTATTAAGACCTTGAATACAGCTCAAACATTGTGAATAAGTGCATTAACATGTTAATGAAAAGTGTGATATTAAGTAGAAAATAAAATGATTGGAGAAATCATTGTGCACAGAATCAGGGAAATATTCTAGAAGACTTTTGAAAACAAACGAAAGCAGAATACATTCTAGATAAGGTGACCACAAGATGAACTGTGCCATGTATAATTATTTCTAACCATTGTATCTTTTTGGTTGTTGAAATATTGAAATTAAATACTGTATTTCTTAGCATAAAATAATATTGAATAAAAATAAAGAGGAGCATTAGTGTTGTGTAAATTGAGTGGAGTCCATGCTAAATAAGGTTATGATTTTTAGCTCACCTGAGCTTAAAGCATGTGAGTTTTTTGGCTCACCCAAGCTGAAAGTTCAAGTGAGCTTTTCTGATCACACTTTGTCAGTAGTCTGTTTGTCCCTCTGTCTGTCCATCCACCTGTAAACTTTTCACATTTTCGACTTCTTCTAAAGAACCACCGGGCCAATTTCAACAAAACTTGCCACAAAGCATCCTTTGGTGATGGGGATTCAAATTTGTTCAAATGAAGGGTCATGTCCTCATTCAAGGGAAGATAATTCAGAAATAGTGAAAATTTGGAAGCATGTTTTAAAATTCTTCTTCTCAAGAACCAGGGGGGCAAAAATGTTGAAACTTATATGAATCTTTCTTTATATAGTGTAGATTTAAGTTTGTACAAATGATGACCCCTGGTGGTAGGGTGTGGCCACGATGGGGGGTAAAAGTTTTACATTGGAATATATAGGAAAAAATCTTTAAAAATCTTCTTCTCAAGAACAGCAAAGCCATGATTAGTCATATTGATATGGAAACATTTTCAGGTCATGTAGATTCAGGTTTGTTCTAATCATGACACCTGGGGGTCAGTTTTAACCAAGTTTGCACAAGGTATCCTTTGGTAAAGGGGATTTTAAAAATTGTTCAAATGAAGGACCACAATGGGGGGTCAAAGTTTTCAAAGGAATACATAGGAAAAAATCTCAAAAACAGCAAAGCCTATTTAGTCATATTGATGTGGAAGCATCCTCAAGTCATGTAGATTCAAGTTTGTTCAAATCTTGACCCCCCAGGGGTAGGTTGGGCCACAATGGGGGATCAAAATTTTTCACAGGAATCTTTAAAAATTTTCCACTCAAGAACAGCAAAACCATTTATTAAATTGATATGGAAGCATCCTCAGGTAATTCAAAATTCAAGTCCCCCCATGTAAACTTCTCAATACTGAACTGATTTGTGCTTTTTCCTAGCCAATGTGCTAAGGTGAATGATGTGGCTCCTGGGCCTTTTATTAAGCTTTTCTGAACCGAAAGCTCAAAGAGCTTATGCTAGTGGCCATTTGTGAATGAGAGGTGTGCAATGTGCATAAACTTTTTAGCTCACCTGAGCTGAAAGCACAAATGAGATTTTTTGATCACTCTTTGTCTGGCATCCATCTGTCTCTCTGTCATCTCTCTGTACATAAAGTTTTATCAGTAACGACTTCTCGAGAACAGGGGCCAGTTTTAACCAAGTTTGCACAAGGTATCCTTTGGTAAAGGGGATTTTAAAAATTGTTCAAATGAAGGACCAAATCCACATCCAAAGGGAGATAATCAAGAAAGGGCAAATATAGGATGGGGTTATTAAAAATTCTTCTCAATAACCACAGGGCCATAAAATGTGCAACTTATGTGAGAAATTGTTCCAATCATGAACCCCCAGAGGTAAGATGAGACCACAATAGCAAATGAATGTTATGATTTGAAATATAAAAGAAAAACTTAAATCTTCTCTAAAACCACTGGTCCTGAAAAAAAAACTTATGTGAGACCTTCCTGAGGAAGTGTGGATTTAAAATTGTTATTTGTTGTTTGAATTTTATAGGCATACATTTTCAGATTGTTTTAGATGCATATTTTGGACACTGTGAAGCCTAGGGTTATCAATCATTGTTAGTTGATGCATTTTTAAGTCTTGCAGCACATCAACAAAAATGTAGGTCTCGGTGACTTATTTTGGATTTTCATGGCTATGCATTATTTAAGTACTCTTGTATTTCAGATATTAAGTGGCTTAGAATCATGATCAATCATCAAACTTTGTTAATATTGATGCATTCAAGGTCCTTGGAGTGTGTCAACCAAAATGTAGGTCAAGATGTTGTATTTATTGTATGCATTATATCCTGTTTCTACAGCGGGTGTGAAATTTGGCGTTTTGTTTGCTCAAAGGTATGCTAATAATTTTGGCAGACACACAGTTCCGTGGCGTTGTAAAAGAGAGGAAGTTTGTTTCTTAGCGAATTTCCAGTACGTTTAATATACGTTTGGGTACCGATTTGGGCAAGAGTTTGAGTAAAAACCAACACAGATGAAAATTATTATGCTTAACAACAAACTGACCAAAGTTGATGTTTCTACTATTCAGTACTTATTTGCAAGGATGCAAATTTAATGATTAAACTATTAGCGGGCTACTCCAAAACTGCTAAAATAAGCCAAAATTAGCACCCTGCTAAAAATTCCTGCTACTGTATGTGTACAGGGTTATTTTTACCCCATGTTATTTTCGCCTTTTCACACTTGCATACAATTTTGCCCCATTTTAAATTCGCTCAGTCACAATTCTGTTTAACAAATTATACTGTTTTTTTTTTAATTTGCCCTGTTTTAAATTAGCCCACCTGTGTGTAGGGCAAAAGAGGCAAAAATTAAAATGGGGGCAAAAATTTCCCTGTATACAGTATATGGTATTTAATAAACTTGATGTCCACATCACAAATGAGAGAAAATAAAGATGCAATAAATCTCTCCAAAAGTAAGAGGCCCAAGAGCCTAGAATCACTCTTCTGATAAATTTTACAACCCTATCACTTCAATTCTAGGCCACTCAGTATAAAAATTATTTGGTTGAAGCCTTGAAATTCTATAACATACTTCACTGTCACTTACTTTTTCAAATTGATATCACACTCAAGAGCCCAGTGAAGATGCATCAACTGACAAGGTTAATTGATTCTAAGCCTCTTAATTATGATCTGAAATATGCAGATACAAAAATGAAATCCCAAAAGTAGGTCAAATTAAGTTACCTACATTTTGGTTGACATAGTACATGGACCCAAGTGAGTCAACTAACTAAATTTAATGATTTAAGGCTCTTTGTACTTTAAATATTGAGATACAACCAGAAATTTAGAGGGTAGGTTACTGTGGCCTACATTTAATTGATACTGTCTGTTGACTAAGATGTATCAACTGAAAGAATTAGATTTTAAATCTCTTTTTATCCAAAAATATTTAGATACAGCCTTAAAATTCCAAAAGTAGATACATTGTAACCATGACTTATTTCGTCATGAACAAAAATTGGTGATTGAGTTGGTGATTCTTAGCCTCTTACATGTACATGTATTAATTAAAATATTGATATACGAGTATATCTTTAAAATTTTAAAATGAGGTCATGGTGACTTATTTTGGGGGTTACACAATACAGGGAACCAAATATGCCAACTTACAAAGTTTGATTATTTGAAGCCTCAACATAGCACCCTAAATACATGTGTATTGCATTCCAAAAGTAGGTCACTAGGACCTACTTTTTAGTTGAAACAGTCCATTGACCTAAGATGCATCATCTGACAAAATTTGATGATTTTAAGCATCTTATTCTAATTATTGAGATGAAAGTGTGAAATCCCAAAAGTAATTCACTGTGTCCTATAGCTGCTTTTTGGTTGAAATACTCTAAGGACCCAAGATGCTTCAATTGACAAGGTTTATTGGTTCTCTTAGCCTCTTGTCCAAAATATTTAGATATAGCCATGAAATTTCAAAAGTAGGTCAATGTGGCCAACTTTTGGTTGATATACTCCAAGACCTTAGGATGCATCAACTGTCAAGATTTGATGATCTTAAAATTCAGTACCCAACATAAGTATCTAAAACTTTTTCAGTTGATACCTGCAAAATTCAAAATGTAGGTCACTGTAACCTACAGAATAATATCTGAAGAAAAGAAAAATTGTGCAATAGTGAAGATTAAAAAATTGGTCCAATTTTCCTTTGCATCACAGTATATCAACCATTGTTCTTGCATATTTTTGTTAAATAATAAGCAATACAATTTTATATCGATTTTGTTTTTTTTTCTCAATTTACAGCAAATTTTGATTTAAGTGTACTTCATAACAATCCATTTCTGTCAACTAAAACCATGAGTAAACATCATCCTTAACCTTCATAAACTTCCATATACATGTATTCTCCTTTGCAGTGGCAAGTCCAGGACGGGCCCGGGGCCCAGTAGTATCATTTTATCAACTTATGTACTAAACTGGACTAAACCGAAGGTATATGCTTGTTATACAAACAAAATTTCAACAACAAAAATTAAAAAAAAAAAAAAAAGGGGGGGGGCGCATTCCTAGAGGGCCGGCGCTGGATCCGCCTTTGCTTTGCTCTAGTGATAAGTTGAACTCAGATATTAATCTTTAACCTTTGATAAACTACAATGCCCTGTACTCTCCTTTGCTGTAGTAACAAGTTCAACTCAGCTTTAAACTTCAACCTTCAATAATCTTTTCTCTAACTACCTTGATTTTCAATACATTTTAAAAGAACAAAAGTTGTCAATGGTTCTACTATATTGTATTGTAATATATAAGGATATATATATATATATATATATATATATATATATATATATATATATATATATATATATATATATATATATATATATATTTCATATAATAATTAACAGTGATCAATATGTTGACATTAGTGTATACTAATATGTACTCATTTAGCATCTACATGTACGAATCTGTTAAATAAAAAACATTTCCCCCTAAATTCATTTTTTATGTAAGCATTGCTGATTAACAAATTCGCTTAAATTCAATCTGATGTACTTTATACTCGTGGTGGCTCAACGCAGACAGACTGGCAAACACAGCATTGCAAACTTCACATTTGTGACTGACAGGTCTTTCGTGTACCTTTCTGTGCATCAACATTTCTTTTTTCCTAGAAAACACCCTGATACAGAGACCGCACTCATACACAGAATTTTTGTCTGGGGACCGCGTTTGTGTTCCAGGGTTTTTAATTTCTTTCACAGTGTGGGCCTTTATATGGGAACACATATTTATATTTTGTATGAAAAGCTTACCACAGATGTGGCAAAGGAAAGATTTTCTCAATTTTTCTGGTTCTTTTGGGTGAGTTTTCATGTGCTTTCTCAACATTCGTGGT